AGCGCGCAGGCGCAGACCCAGGCCTGCCGGGCCGCCTCCCCCTCCCTTGCAAGGTGTGCCCGGGCCAGGGGCGGAGCTGGCCGCCCGAGCTCCTGGGTCATCCAGAATTACCAACAAACAAATAAAAAGCCTTCACACCCATGTGGGCAGGTTAACCGGCAGCGGTGCACAAACCACTTTTTTTCAGGTTTTCCTCAAGTGTGAGGAAGGTCGATATGACAAGACGATTAACATGTTTTTTAATGAGTATCTTCAGAAAGCTATCCTTTGTTGTTACTTTTCTAAAAGGTCTGGGTTTGCGCTGCTATTATAACTTCGGATTTATACACTTGGCCTAGGTTCCAAGAATCCACTTTGATAGAAATCAAAGTGGCTTTGATAGAAATCCACGTGGATGAAACCGGGCTTATTAAAATGGAAACCAAAAAAAAAAAAAAAGCTTTCCCCCACCTCCCCACGCCTAACTCATTTAAAGCGTTTTCCTACTGTTCTTTCTCTGCTCACAAAAAAAAGGGTTATGATTCCAAGGACACTGATTCCCCCCATTTTAAGCTCCAGGAGGAATCACAGAAGCACAATCGCACCCACTAAGTTTTCTGCCCCAAGATGCAAACGAATGCAAATACGAATGGAGCTATGCAAGTCACCACGAACAAAATAGCCCCGTTTTTGTTTTGTTTTTGTCGTGTGTGTTTTGTTTTTACCTTGGGTGTATCCAAAATGGAAAAGCTTAAAAAACATAACAAGAAAGGCACTTAAAGTACAACAGTTAATAAATCAGGACCAAAAAAAAAGAGAGAGAAAAGCCACTCCGTAAGTGCTTGGCTGGTGAGCAATGCAATCCTTAATAAATAGGAAATAGAATTTGAGAGGCAGCTTCTCAGCAAAGGGGAAGCATTCACACAGCATGATGTTTTTGCTGTCGTTTTATACAGAACTACTAGGCCCACAGACAGACGGGCTGGTTAGCCTTTTCTAAAGAAATGAGCCAATTACTTGCAATCAATTAGCACTGCCAGAAGTAGATTCTTAGGCCAGAACTTTTTTTTTTTTAAATCAAGTACACTGATACCGATTACTTCCAGCAATAGGTTCCCTTTCTCGGGGAAGATGAATACCTCTCTTTAAGATACTTTTCAGAGCCTCAGACACAGTCACATCCTGAAAAACAGTCCAGAGGCATCCTCTTCATAAACAAGCTTCACTGACCTTCCCAAAACAAATGACTTCCACCCTCGCTCCTCA